TCAGAGAAAATTAAAAAAAAATCAAAGAAATAAATTTAAAATAGACAAAAATTATAAATAAATAATAATAATTTAAAAAAAAGAAAAAATAAAATGAGTTTCTAAAGCGTAAATGAAATTAACCAAATATTTTTCTTTTTTAAACAAAATCTAAAAATCAAAAGAAAATTAAATAAAAACGAATAGTTAAATTAAAAAAAATACTCAAAATTAAAGTAAAAAATTAATAACTTAGTTAAAAAATACATCAAATGTAAAATGAAATTGAATTATAAAAGTATCAAATTAAGAAAAACTAATTCTGACTGCAATTTAATAGTAAATTCTTCTGTCAATCGTTATACAAGCCCAGCATTAATATTACCGATGACAGTTAAGTCTTAGGTGGGTTTTTATATCAGAATCTCATTTTTGTGAAAGGTGCAGATAGAGGGTATTGAATATAAGCCCTCGCTATGCGCAACTGCTTTATGTCAAAAGAGCTTTTCACCACCAAAGTGGGCAAGGGAGCTTAGTTTTGTAAGACTTTTGTGCCAGAATAAACAAAATCTTTCAAACTATCTGGACTACCGTATTTCAATTGCCTTAGAAAATACTTGCAATTATCTTAGCCAGAATTGCCCTGTTAACAGACTCACACCTGCAGCGGAAAAACACGGTCTCACATCTCCCTCTCTCTTCCGTGCCGTCTTTGTGAAGTATGTAGCGTATTTGAAGTCCTTTATTTAGATAATAGTTGTCCTAAACGGCTACTACTATCGGTCTTTAATATTAAATTCATCATTTCATTCATTTTGCAACTCGCAAAATTAAAAAAAATATTTCTGTTCAGTTTTAGCGCTCCTTTTGCCAATTTCTACTTTTTACGACAGTGTTGCTTTGTGCGCGGCCATATAAAATGTACATAGAGCTTTGAAGCTGTATGGTGAGTACTTTTTTTTTGGAAGCTCCCTGCGATCGTTCACTGAAAGTCATTTTTTCGCTTTAAACCGAAAAATTATTACTTAAACTTGAACTTTTTTGAGGTTTGTATGCTGATAAAATTTGTTTTTAGGACATTCAATTGGAATTTTATTAGAAAAATGTTTTTTTTCCGAACATTAGAAACCACGTTACGCGAAGTCAAAAAAAGATGTTTTTAATTTTACTGAAATAATAAGTCAATTTGTAATAGTAAAAGTGTGGAGATGTAAATTTGCAACATTTCAAAGTGCATTGAGCCGACTAAATATTATTCTTTAAAAAATCTTTAGAACCACTATTTCTCAAATAACTGATTTATAAGATATGGATAGAGTTTTAGAAACGTAGGTGTAGTTCCATATGTTTTGAGCACCACTGTATGTACATATGTACATAAGCACTACATTTCTGTATATTTAGTTTTAAATTCGGGGGCTGGGGGGCGAGAGAGTTGCAAAAGTGAGCGGGCACGCGCACAACAAACGAAACAGCTGAGCTGAGCGCCAACGAAGCAGTAAACGAGAAGCGTTTGCACATAAGAAATATGACAAAAAATAAAAATAAATAATGATGAGTAAATAAATGTTGAAAGCAAAATAAAAGAGACAAAGGAAAACACTTATAGGCGAGGGCGAGAGAAGTGGGTACAAGTGGCTTGGTTGGCACACTAACTCATACAAATTATTATAATGATGGGGAAATGTACAAATGTGCTAGTGTGCCAGCGCCATTTGTGCGAAATGGGAAGTAAAGAAGGGCGCGAAAAGTACACAAAGCAGACGTACATAAATTCTGAAAGCAGAAGAGTAAAATGAGCGTTGATAAGCTTTCAGAATTTGTATACACACGTATGTATGCACAAATAGCAGTTTAGTTCCTCAACTTTTCTGAAAAAAAAAACTGGTAAAACTGTCAAAAATCAAATTGGGCTCTCAGAGAGAGAGAGAAAGACCAAAATGTACGGGAATGCTTTTCGTGCAAAAACTGGTAATTCTGTCAAATACAAACTAAACGTCAACTTTTGTTTACATAGTTTTTTTGTTAGTATTTGATGATTTGCAAAATTATGCCCAAATATGTTCTCAAATAAACAAAAAATACCTACAAAACTTGCTATTTCATCACTACAACATTTTAAAAAAATATGAATCTGCAGATATGTTTTTCTTTTTGTTTACTCTACTTTCAATTTGCTTTCACCGCAGAGAACAGCTGATCGTTTTGGCACACTTTATCAGATTTTACCAGTAAAAATTCTTCAGGTAAACTCTTGTAACTTTGGGCAAAGAGAGAACTTCATTTACTCTCTAATTTGGCAGAAAACCGAGTAACGAAACGCTTTATGGTATGTTCTGGCAAAAATATACAACTTCTGAGGAGTTAGGGAATGCACATAGAATTTCGCTTCCGACGAGTAGAACGTTTGCGCCCCACACTATTCATACATACAGTGTCGGCCAAATGATTAGGGTCTTGATGTTTTACCAAGTTTTTTCCTATTTTCTTTTGTTTATCTATACAAATTTCAGGGGTTGTTTTCATCTCCAAGGCGGGAAGAACATCCTACACTTACCTCAATCATTCCAGACTGATTGAACCCCTCTGCAGTGCATCTCTATGGCGCATGCTGACGTCCTTGCGGTGGTTCCACATACTACATACATATGTGTGTTATCATGTAGGAAATTCTAAGACTAAATTAAAGGTAGACCAATTAGAAAGGTCTAGACGTTAACACGTACAAAACTGTCCTGATACTCTTTACAAGGAAGTACAAAATCCCCACAATTCATCTCGCTGTCATTGGCCCCACGACGCTTAAGTTAGGGGAATCCGCAAAATATCTCGGCTTAGTATTAAACAAAAAGCTGAACTGAGCACAAAATCTTCCGTTCCGTTCACAGACCGAAAACGATATGAAAGAAAATTACGTGATACGTCTGGCAGTATAAGCTGAATGGGACAAAGAGTACGTTCATGAAAAATGTGTTTTTACGTGACGAGTAAGTAGTACGATATCGTATGCGTCGATTCGAGCCCAGGTTAATAAAGTAACGGCAGGCCTCTACCGCTGTATGGGGGAATTGGATGTAGGTGCGGGCTGTCCCCTTTACACAGCGGTTGTCAGGCCTATTCTGCTCTACTGGGCATTGGTATGGTGGCCCAGTCTCAACAAAGTTCAAAACGTGCAAACTCCATCGGTGGCAATGTGCGTTGTATTCCAAATTCCACCAATCGAAATTATTGGAAAACAATCAGCAGGGTGTGCCGCTTTGAGGCTGCGAATGCTATCCGATTGGAGAGACATTCAAGACGGCCACACCGCGATCTTACATAATGTCGGCCTTCCGTTTACGGTTTACTGTGTACCAACGGTTAAAAATTTCGGTTTTAATTTTAAACTTTTTGGACTACATATATGACCAAACTAAATTCAGTTTCAAATACAAACCTTCCAAGTTTAAAAAAAAGAGAGCACATATGTTGGGTTTAGAATTTAAACAATTCGGTTTAAATGTTAAACCCAAACATTTTCATAATTAAGAATAAAAAAAAAACAATCTTAAATTTCATGCTCCGTCTGGTTGGGATTGAACCCGGACAGCCTTGGTAGCAACCAATTGTATCAAGCATCTTTGCACACTCAGCTACAGCCAGGCATGTAAATGTGCTTTCATATGTTGAGTTTGAATCAACACCACAATTCGCTGTGCAAACATATTCTATTTCGGTTTAGATTTTAAACCAAATTTTCTATATATGAAACCTAGAAACTAGAATTAAAACATTTTGGTTTGATTTTTAAACCACGAACTTTTTGGGCTAAATTTTAAACCAGAATATATTAAAAATTGCGTAAAACTATTGACTGGTTTAAAAAGTAGACTATAAAAAAGTTTAAAAAAGGCAGTAGTCCCAGCGCGGTTTAAAAGTTAAACCCAAATTTTTGACCGTGTAGCAAAGAGGTATAGAGTTTATATTCCTATGAAAAGGCATCACTCCAATTCTACACCTATGGCTCTAAACTGAAGAGCTGAGTAGAAGCGTAGTTTTCTAAACTCAGCTGAGGCTGAAAAAATCATTTCGCCTATCCGGCTATTGCATCATCTTTCAAGCTGAAGTCGCTGCCATACAAAAGGAAGTACTGTCAGGGGGTAACGCATAGTGCCCGCTAAATAACGATACGCAAGATCCAAGCAGCACCTACCCTAGTTACAGTGGACTCTTCCAGTTAAATGAACTTTATCTTTGGAAGGAACTAGGAAGGGTTTCTGCTGAGATTTCCAATACGCAACCGTTAGCTATTTCAGGTCAAGTGTAAGGATTTTTTTTATGAAAGTCGATGGGAAAATTAGCGAAGGGTTTCTTTACTGAAATTATCACAAGGTAGGATGAACGCAGAAAAGAGTTGGACGCCAAAATATTGTGAATGGCGTAGCCGGTGGACTGATGAGTTAACAATAAATTACATAAAAACTACTTTTACTTACTGACACCTCCCACTCACCTTTTAGAGAGGGCATGAACCGCCATTCACAAAAATGCAACCATCTTCGGCAACACAGAAAGGAAAATTCCTCTTGGTAAGGGCTATAATCCCTAAGAAATTCTATGCAAAAATGCTGTAGACGCAACTGAAAATTGTGACCTTTGGCCATTTTTCCAAGGGCTCCCTAGCGACCCATAGGGGGACTAGGCGGTCGGAGGTTGAATTTTTTTGTGAAAGGCGGTTCATGCCCTCTCTAAAAAGGGGATTGGGCGATGCCACGCACCTTCCTACACTGGCCACCGCCCTTATAGGAAAATCCAAAATAGAAAATGCCCCTATTTTGTTGGGCACTGACTGTATTATTTGCAATCAGCCAGTCGAAAAACGTCAAGTACAAACAAACAAAACAAACTGCTTGATAATGTGCCCAGAGCACCGGAAGAATGAGAGCAAATAAATATTAAGAGTGTGAAAGAGCGAGAGTGTAGGAGCTGTTGCCGCTGTTGGCTGCAAGAGCAAACTTTGGGCAGTTGGAATGGAGCGACCAAAGTCTATTATCAATCGGTCAAGAACGTTTGTCGAAGTTGAACGCGTTGAAAATGCGCGCGCGCGTAAAATCTTAAAATTGAATTCAAAATAAAAATCTTATCCATCTACATAGTATACATAAAGCAACTTGTGTTTAGCAATAAAGTTACCAATAAAAGGTTAACAAACAAAAACAGCAACAAATAGCAAAAGTACAGTGCAAAATCAATGGCAATAAATGTAATTTCGTGATTTCAAGAAACAAGAAAAAAAATACACATATAAAAAAGTGTTGATTGATTTTCAGTGCATTTTTGCAGACAGATTGTATAGCAGAAAGCGAAAATTTCAATCTTTATTCAAATATATGTACGCATACATACTGTACATACACGTGTACATACATGCAAAGACAGGTTTAATAAGTGCAAAATTTGTTAAATAAAAAACCCAAAAAAAAAGTCGCGACAAAACAACGATAACAACTACATTTAGAAGCAGACGAAAACAGCTGTATGTAGGTGAGCATTGCTAGTGTGCGTGAAAAGTTAGTGCAAAACAGTGTTTAAAAAAATTTGGACTGAATAAATAAGCTTATAAAAAACAAAATTCAAAACGTGTATAATAAGTAATAAAATATATGTACCTACAAAAGTAAATTGTGTAACTACAAAAGGAATAACAATAACTTGTGAAATAGTATAAAATAAAAACAAAAGATCCAAAACATGAGTTATAACAACAATAACAACTTCAAAGCATAGCAATCTTCGCATAAATATGTAAATGTGGCTACTGATTATAAAAGCAACAAAAACAACAAACAAATTTATGAAAATAAAACCATAAACACACGCACGTACATACACATACATTAATGTGTGTGCATTAAGGTGCCTCACAAAAAAAAATTTGCGTTTTCCAACGGAATTACAAAATTTATTATATTTTTAAACTTTCGCCAAAATATTTCGGAAAAAATATTAAGATTTACGTGAGCTAGGGTAGCTTGAAAATACCTCCAAAACTTGTATTATTTTGATTTCGTTGATAAAATGTTAAAAAATTTTCATGCAGACCTTTTAAGCTTAAGCTTTTCTATCATATGAGGTGATTTTTTGGAAAAAAAAAATTTAAAAGCTAACTTTATTATCTAAACAAGTGAGGTATGCATATATTTTCAAATCGGTTCACTTAACCTAAATCTTAATATTTTTCAGAAATATTTTAGTGGAAGTCTTCAAATATAATAAATTTTATAATTCCGATAGAAGAGCAATACCATATTTTTTTTTGTATAAAGAGAGTGATGCACTCTAATGTGCATACATATGACTACATATAGTATATATGTATACAAAGAACAAATGAGTCGAGCAATAAAGCCCCATCTACATACATACATACATGTGTACATTAAAGTGGTTCAAAAATGTATGTGAAAAAATAAGGTCGGATTTTTAATGCCACGATCCTCTAGGATTGTTCTATATATGGCGAAATAACAACTTTTCGTAGAAATAGTGTAGAATTCTTGAAAATCAATATTTTTCTATCGGAAAACTTTGCCTACCTTCAGGAAATTCCCAGTAATAATACCGAATTGTTTCTTTAACCATTTTTTT